CATGGGACCATGAAGCCTTGTCATTTCGGTACGGAAAGCAGCTCCACACCAGGAAGCTGCCTGCCACTTCCGGCTGAAGAGGAAATGTGCTTTAAGTTTCTCCACAGTTTACTCAGGGAGAAATCAAGCTCCTGCCCAAGTTAAGACAAAATTGAACTTGTGTGAGTGGTGATGTATTCGGTGGCTCAGCTTATGAACAGTTTAAGTCATTTTGAGTGACACAGAGTCTACATGAAGTCTAATGAAAAATGGTTTTCCCAAAAGTATCACAATATTTTTATATGGTGACTTGTTAAGATTTGATTACCATAAAAAGATTTTCTCTTTGGAATTCCATTCCTTTATTTAGTGAATTCTAGCACCAGTAGCAGGTGTGTTTTAAGGCTCCGGCTAGCTGGCTGATGACTGCTAAGCAGGCATAAAGGTCTTTGCCTCATTCAATCTCTTGCCCTTCACCAAGACATTCTATTTGGGGGAAATTTTAACTTTTGTGTGCTTTCAAAGACATGAGACCAGAGAGGAAGAAAAGGAGCTCTGCCAAATGATTTTCTTATTATTGTTTTTGCCTTAATGTAGGAGACAGGATCAAAAAATACAGTGCAAGTTTAAATTAAAAAACAATTATTACAGTAAAAGATGCGGTGCCATGAATCCCCTCAAAATCTTCCTGCTTGCTTCGAACACATTTGTCCCATCATTCTTGCCACTTCTGGAAGCAGTTCGGAAGTCCTCTCTCATAAGTGTCTTTAGTCATACTGTCACGGCTTCTTCAGGATCCTGAATGAACTCCAGACATTTCCCTTTTATGGTCATTTTGACTTTCAGGAGGAATTAAAAGTCGCACAGTGCCAGGTCTGGTGAATAAGGTGGATGAGGACACCTGCCATGTTTTTAGGACCCTGCCTTTCCATGGATGACACTTAGGAGCATTCACTGTATTTGTGGTAACACCTTATAAAGGTACTCAGGAAAAAGGACTTGCAGAACTGCTTCAGAAAGCGGCAAGCAGGATGGGATAGTGTGTCTTCAGCAAGGGAGAGAATTCGGAGGGAACTCAAGGCAATTTGTCTTTTACTATAATGACTTTTAAAAGTGTAAATACCCATTGTGTATTCCGATCGCACCTTGTAGCTCCCGCAGAGACAGTGCCTCATAGCCAGTAGGTGCCGATGAGAATAGATGAAAGAACCACCAAATATGACCAGGGAAGAGCAGCACAAAGCTGGCAGATGGAGCCGAGTGGCGTGGCTGCCATGGTCTGGATCCGGTCTGTCCCCAGAGGCCGCCCGCTGGGGCAGTGTGGGGCAGCAGGGGCTTCGTTCTTTTCATTTTTGCTTAGCTTTGCACTGTGGTAAAGGCCTATCATTTTATCAGCAGCTTCCTCAGTTCCTCTGCTCCTCATTTTTCCCATTCCTAGTCAAAGCGCGAAGGAAATGCATGATGCTGCATCACACCTGGCCAGCGGTAGTCCCGAGGACGGACCCTCTCCTGAGGAAGCTCTCTGCCTCCCCTCTCCCACTGTGGGCCCGAGTCATGCTGTCCTCTTGTCAGCTTGTATCAAGGCCCAGAAGAAGTAGATGCCACACTTGAGTGTCTTAGCATTTCCAGACCAGCAGCTGGGGACGTCTGTCTTCTTTGCTGATCTGGGTTTCAAAATATCTGGGCAGCTTACTAATTACGTCTTCTATTAGACTGGCAGGAATTGACATCTTCTCTACTCCTAATGCTAGTGTTTCTCATTCAACCTCCACTTACAGTGGCCCCTTGACTTTGAACTTGACTGGTTCCCGAGGGCTGGTTGTAACTAAGTCAGTACAGCTGAGGTCTGGATGTTCACCTGGGCGCACGCTGTAGATAACAAGAGGCAGGTGAGTCTTCCATTGACCTAATTAACCCAAGTTCTTCCTATGTCAGGCCAGCCATAATTTGAGCGTCCACTGTAGTTATTTTCAGACTCCAGCCTTGGCACTTGGGATAATGCGCTTTGCAGGCCAGAGTCTTCCCCGCTGGTCTCTCCCTGGCAGGCAGTAGGTGCCACACTGCTGTTAGAGCAGAGGGGCTGGGTTGTGGGAGAAATGCTGTGAGAACTCAGAGGTGAGGAAGGGCAGCCCAACTAGACAGGGAGTGCAGCGTCGCTGGGCCTGGGGCTTCTCTCTTGGGGGTTCTGATGCTCTGATGCCTTCAGCCCTCCAAAGCTCCATTATTTACCCACGCCCTCTCGACTATAAAAGACCCCTTAGAACTCTATAAGCTTCTGCAAAACTGAGTATTTCACCGGGTCTTTAAATGGCCTTCACTTAAGAGCGAGAAAACTGATCCACAGGGTCAAAAACTTGATTATAGTAAACACGATAAAGCTTCTTTGACACTCAGTACCAGCCCATTTGGATCAGGACTCCGTGCCCACAGCTTGGCCGCGGGTAAATGGCCTTCCAGTGGCCCGTGCCAGATTGCGGTGCCTGGCTCTCTAGCACGCTGGCTGTGGCAGGGGCTCTGTTTGCCTCCTGTTCTTGTCCTCCACCCTTTTCTATGTGCAACAATGCAGAGACTGCGTCTTGCCCTGCTGCCGCCGGAGCCATCAGCAACACCGAGAATGCGTTTGAGAACGATTGCTTGCATGTGATGTGTGAAAAAAGGTTTTCCCTGAAGTATCTCAATACTTCTTACATGGTGATTTGTTACAATTAGATTACCCTGAAAAGATTTTCTCTTTGGAATTTCATTCTTTTATTCAATAAAGATTTATGGCCCATTTGCTGTTGTAAGGCACGTAACAGTTTGGGTGCATTAGTGGACAAAACAGAAAACAAAGATAAATTATCTGTGGCACCATGGAAATTCCATTCTAGTTTGAGAAAGCAGACAGTACGGGGGAAATATGCGATGTGAGTAAATTATACAGATGTTGCCTGATACCGGCACTCAGGAAATAGCAGGATGGGGAGACGCCTGGGAGGAGGCTGTCACTTTAAACAGTGACTGGGGAGGTCCTCACTGGGAGAGGACACTGGAACAGGACTCAGAGAGGTGAGGGGCCCTCGAGGAGGGGGTGCGGGGCTTCACTTGGGTTTCCCTTAGACTCTGGGAGTCTAATTTGCACACAAAGAATCCACCCATTTTATCGGTGAGGCTGAGGAGTTTTGAGAAACTATATTCCTTGTTACATTGTTGCCACCAACGTGTAGAACTTTCTGTCATCTCCACGGGGTTGCCCAGCCAGTCCGCCCTCGCCTGTACTTCCAGCCCTGGGTCATCACTGATCTGCACTCTGCACCTAGGATTTAGATCTGTCCACCCAGACGTTTATGACCATGGAACCACACTGTGTGTGTTCTTGCATCTGCCTTCTGTTGCTCAGCAAGTTTCGGTTCTGTGTTCACCTTTGTTGTGTATCTCGACATTCATCCCTTTCTTCTCCCACTAGTTTGTCATTGAATAAGTAGATTGTGCTTTGTGTTTCCATTGATGTGCTGATGGACGTTTGGCTTACTTCTACTTTCTCATGAGTGCAAATGAGGCTGCCACAGGTGTGGCTTGTGGGCACACATCTCCTGTGTGTACCTAGGCGATGTCTTGATGGGTCATGGGTATGTGTGGCTTTCACTTCCTAAGAAACTGTCAGATGCTTCCTGAATGTTGGCACTGTCACAGTCCCACTGTCAGTAGGTGAGTGGGCCAGGAGCTCTGCATCCTGCTGCCCTTAGGCAGCACAACATTTACAGATTCCCGTGCTCCTGGGACCCAGGTAGTGGCATTTCCTTGTGATTTGAGTTTGAATTCTCTCTATCACTGATGATGCTGACCATTGCTTCATCTTCTTTGTGGTTTGTTCAGATACCTTCTCATTTAAAAAAATTAAATTGCTAATTTTAAAATTATTGCACTGTAGGAAGTCTTTATAATCTAGATATCCATTCTTTGACATATATAGTCTATATAATATTATGCCAGCCTGTGCTTAACTTTCTTAACTTCACTTTCTCAGTATCGATCACTGCGGGCTGGGGATTTAGCTCAGTGTTGCCACCGCCTGCCTCAGTATAGATCACTGAAGTTCCTAAATTTTGTGGACATATAAAGTGATTTGGATGAAGATGTAAATGCTAAATGCAGACGTGAAAGAACTGAATTTTGTATGACAGTGATAATTTTGGTCAGCTCAAGGCCATTTCTTAGGTAACTTCCTGTTCCTCATGTAGCACCTGCTCATAGTTTTCACTCGCTTTTCCTTGGCTTTCGTATTTGTAAGTCTTCTTGGTAGATAATATGTTCCCTTTCATCAGCAAGGCTCTCAGTCTTTCCTCCTCCCTGGGCTGTGTTGTGCTCCCTAGTTTATTTACTTGCTCCTAATTGAATTTCAGGTCTAAGTTCTGTAACTGGTGATTTTGAGGTTGTCTTGGTGATGTTTCTCTTGTGCCCTGGTCAGGGGTCTCTGAGTGCACCTTCACCTGGCTGGCATTGCCAGGGAGGCTGAGGGTCTGCAGCGACTGACATGCAGCTCCAGTCTGAGGCCGAGAGCCTGAGAACCAAGCGAAGCCCCGGCAGGAGTTTTGTTCAGCACCCAGGAATCTTCAGGCCCCGGGAGACCTCTGCTTGGGCTCAAGCCAAAGCCATCGGAGCCAAGAGGCTCAGGGGCTCTCAGCAGAGCCTCAGGGCCCCTGGGGCTCAGCCCTGCAGCTCAGTGGTCACTCAGCTGCTGGCTCCACCGCGCCACCAGAGGGGGGGTGTCTGCTCCAGGGAGCTGTGCTCTCCAGGGTCACTTTCCTCCCGAGGTCTCACACACCCAGCGTGACGCCTGACCGACTACCTGGGCAGCCAGGCCCCCGCCAAACTGAAGACAGGTTACCCATTGTACCACGGTGGAGGGAAAATAGCTGGAATTAAAATCAAACAAAAAACCTTCCCTCTTAACATTAGCATGGCCAGCCAAAGCCAGCAAGTGTGGCCCACGGGAACGAGGGAGGTGGTTGCGTGAGTGAGTGTGGGCCCTGGACTGCTACGTGTGCCTGGAGGGCGGCTGCCGTGTGCACCGCACCCCGGTGCTGGTGTTAGGACAACGCCCGCTGGTGCGCTGCCGCTTTTTGCAGAGGGTGCGTTTCGATCTAGTTTGATATGTTTCCAGAGAGCTCGGGAGGGCCCCTCACAACCGCGTCCAGCTGGGGGCACATTCTTCACGGAACCACTGGCTTGAGAACATTCCCTCAGCCTTCCGGGACTTAAAGGAGCAGACATGTAGAGGAAACAGGAAGTCAGATATTTCTGGCTCCCACGAGGTACGAAGCTGCGGTTCAAATCCTTATTTCCGTACAACAGGTTTATCTGGGGATAGGGAGAATTACGCCTCTCCCCGAGTAACTAGAGACAGGACGTGAACCTGCGGTCCTGTCAGAAGCACGCTGCACTGTTCCTTCTTTAGATGTCGGTATATGTTTGCAATGTGTAATAACCCAGTGTGGGGCGCAGGCCCTGCTCCTCCCCTTCCCCGTTGCCCTGATTTTCCAGGGCTTGCGAGGTTCTTGCCACGTACGAATCTCTCTCAGACCGCCCCCCCCCCCGTCCCCCCGACATTAGCCCTGGCCCACAGCATGGGAAGCAGGCACAGGGAATGTTCCAGGAGCCTGCAGGGACCCCGCGCCTTCTCAGCTCCCTTCCAACCGCCCAACCCGGAGCCCTTGGTATAAATGAGAACTGCAAATACAGGCAGGACATGTGGCTGCAGCCTATAAAAATCCGTTTCTTGGCACTGGCGTCCACTCAGTCTGTCATCTCCCAGCTTGCTTTTGCCTTGACAGAGCCTCTATTGTACCAGGCAGACTAAACCCGAGAGGGTGCATCTGGATTTGGGCTTTGGGTGGGAACTGGCTTAAAGTGTGTTCCCAGTTCGTGCTCTCTCTGTGGATCACATTCTTCAGCTGGGGGAGAACCGCCCCGTCCCTTCCAGTCTACACACAGCTGGGTTTCCCTTCGCTCGGTGAGGCTGGACTGCAGAACAAGGAGCCTTCCCCGCGGGCCAGTGACTGCCGAGACTTCATTCATTTCAAGCTGTAGCAGAAATCTCGACGGTGTAGAGCATTTCGTGAGACATCAGCAGTTTTCTCTCGGTGCAGCTCCCACGTGATGTTTCTGTGGGGCTAGTACTTACTCCTTAGTCCCTGCCACCCCACCCGGAGATTGTGTAGCTGAACGGTTTAAACTTCCCTTAATAAAATACTTTCAATGGGAGGATTTTTATTCCTTAAACCAGGTGGATTCCAGTGATATTTGCCTAACCCTCACTGGCATCAGATATTCACATTAATTCAATTTACTTAAACCTCTAGCAATTTACCAAAAGAAAGGAATTTCTCTGAGATTTTCACATGGTAAAGAATCATTCCACTTAGCATAATTTTCCCCCATAGTTCCAATTTTATATTTAAAATTTTGTATGTTCATATTCTTTCTCATAGTTATTACCACTGTATTATGTGGATAAATTGCCTTTGTATGTAAGTAGATTTGAAATTCTTTTGTGGTGACCAGGAAGCTGGAAGCAGGGCTGGGGAGCAGAGCCAGAGAACAGGGCCCAGGGGCTGAGGACACACCTCTACGCAGACACACTCAAGAGTGTGCTCTATGAAATCCCCGAGCACTTCTGAGACCACTCAGGTTGACATATGGAAATTAACGGTCACCCTGGGAGGCAGGCATAAGGGAGGAGCCCCCGAAACTAGGATGACGTCAAGTCAGGCTGTGTTCTCTGCCAGGCGACTCTGGTGAGGCTGACGAGTGAAGAGATGCACTTGTCACACGGGTGAACCAGACAAGGTACATGGGCGCCACCATATGCAGGCGCTGTGTAAGTCTCAGGCCACTGTGGCCTACAGAGGGAGGAGCTCTGGACTGCGGCCAGCGCTCGGAGGAGCTTGGTTTAGGTAAATGAGGATTTGTCAGATTTTATACGTCCTGCATTTTTTTGAAATCTGATGAAACTAGAAAGCACTCTACAGAGGAACATTGAGAAGCGTCCAATTTTGCCTGCACTACCATGAAGCCACCTTTGAAAATGTGGACCCTGAATTTATCAGCCCTTCTATAAATGTACATTAGAATTTTATCTTTCAGGAGAGTAACAATAAGTTTAGGAGGACGTAACTCATAGAAGCTATTGAATTAGATATGATCACAAGCATTGTGTCAGGTAATATAAAAATGTGTGTGAAGCTGACTTATCAATGGTTACCATAAGTTCACTTTTGTGACTGTCCAGCAATCAGGGACCACACAGGAAGGAATTCATCCCATCGGAAATCAGCCTGGTCCCAAGATCGCTGGTCATAGCGCCATCGCAAGTTGATGATTATCCAGCATCAGGGTTGATGGGAGATTTTCTGAGTGACACAGCCAGCTGGAAACAATATCTACCGAACATGACCATGGGCTCCAAGCATCCAGAGACTTCACAGGCATGCATCTCGACCATCCTGAATGTCAGTCAGGCAGAAGTATGTTTTTAAAATTATATTTCCATTTTCCAGATGAGCAAGTTGAGACTCAGGCTCAGTAACTCCCTGGCCTAGCCTAATGCCACCGAAGGTTGTCTGCTGGTAATGCTTGGCCTCCCACTCTCTGCACAGTCTAGGCCACGACTCATGAGTGGGATCATTACTTTTGCCAGATCTGCAGGGCTGCTGACCTCTGGAGGGGCAGGAGAAATGTAACAGGTGGGGAAGAAATAAGTTGTCTATGGCAGGTCCCGACTTAACTTATCTGTAAGCATAGAGCTTCCTTAGGAAAGAAGATGAGTGCATTGGAAAAATGTCTCAAGGGTAGCTGTGATAGAGAGAAGGAAGAAAGGAGGTTGGCAGGATCTAGGTGATAACAAGGTCTGTGGCTGGCCAGAGAGGACCTGAATCTTGTTGGCTTCCTTCTCTCCAATCCCTGTTCACATCTTCTCTCACCCTTCCAAACCTCTTTCTTCTTCCTTTGTATAATGTCATCTTCACTAGCTTTCCATCCTGCCAGAACTTTTGTCCTTGGTTTGTATATTTAAAGAAATCATAAATTGTTTCAGGCACCCTGAATCCTGTAACCTCTCCTTAGGAAGAATGGAATTTCCCCAAATAGAGGAGTCAAGCTAAATGAAGGAACCCTCAGGTACATGGACCACAGTGCGTGCTGTGGCATCCGAGCGGCACATGCGTCCCCAGAGAGTGTCCTCCTCCATGTGTCCTCAGCTGGAACACCCACGGACGGATGATGAAACCCTAACCCTGGGCAACAGGCCCAGCCAGTGTTTTTAAAAAGTGCTCGCTTTCTTCCAGTGAGAGGTCATGGCATTGGAGAAACAGTTTCAGTGTCTCTCCACTAATCCAAGTATTTAAAAACGTCTTCCAGAATGATTTTATAATTTTCTCCAATATGATCTTTAAAAAAATTATTTCTGTTTTGTTGTTATTTAAAATGCTTTTAGAATTTCATTTTATGCTTGTTACCAGTGTCCAGAAATGGAATTTTTCTACTGAATTAATTTTTAAACAGAAACAAAAACATAAAGTTGTACGTGTCGCTGGGGTGTCCTGCGCTGTTTCAGTCCAGGTGTACACTGTATAACTCTTAACCTAGGGCAGGCAGGTCTGTCCCTCCAGCATTTGTCACTTCTCTGTGGACAGAACACTCAGAACCCTGTGCTACAGCGTTGCGAGATCGAGCAGCCAGAGCCTGTGAGTCCCATTGAACCGAGCCATGGGCCCACGGGCCAGCCTCCCTCCTGCATCTCCTCTCTGCCTGCCCTGGGCCCACGTCCGCCTTCCACTCCCGGCCACCATGAGCTCCACGTCTCCGTCTACACAGGAGTGAGGTCATTTGCTTTCTGGTTCCTATGGCACAGACACAACACGTATTATCCCTCTGTTCCCACGCGACTCGGAGTGGGTTTAACGTAAGACTTTCCCGCTGGCTCGAACCACTGGTGAGCCATGCGTGAGTGCCCCGTCAGGCGCCTTGGACCGCCGCAGTACAAATGGATCTAATGGCTCTTACCAGTCTTTTTACCACTAAAACTAATAAGAAGCTGCCCAGTGGGACAGTCATGTACATAGCACAGGTGGCTCCAGTCATCTGGCAGTGAGACACACAAATGATAGCCCTGTTGGGAATATGTTGAAGTTGCCTATTGTGATTTGATATTAAAGTTACATCTTCAAAAATGCCGGCCTGCTTCTTTTTTCTCCTCCTTTCTCTATAAGAGCTTCTGGAGCTTTTTTGCTGAGTAGATTTTTAGTTAATTATATGATTTATGATTTAGGGACATTTATGTCTTCTATTTCTTCTAGAGGGACATATGTGTATATTTTCAGGAAATTGTCCATTTTATTTGGGTAATGAAATGTATTGTTATAATATTAATAATATGTTGTTTGTTGGTAACTTTTTTGATTTTTAAAAACCTTGACTAGGGATATGTGTGAGTTGAGCTTTTGCTTGTTTAAAGCTATACCTGGTTCACAGGTAAATCTGCAGGCCCTGAGGAGAAGGGTTGTATTGGCCAGTGTCCTGACGAGAGACACCCTAGGCCTCTTTTGGGAGAGTGATTCTGAGACTCGAGCCGTGGCAGAAGCTGCCTGATCTGTGAATACAATGACTTTGCTCTTGTCCACGACCTGTCAGGTGTGTGTGCGCGTGTGTGCGTGCGCGTATGTGCGCTCCTGTGTGTTAATAGTCAAAATTAAGTGTATGCAACATGTGGAAGTAAGTTCAAAGTACGTACTGTGGTCAAGCAGCAAACCTGTTTTTAAATCGTGCAGTTGCTCATTAAACACATACCATGTGGTGGGCCTGACCTGGGCCAAGCATGTAAAATGGTCAGGCAAGTGTTGGAGGCACTCTCTCCAACCCCTAAGAAAGAGTGGGGCATTCTTAGGGCCAAGATGGGTGGCTGGGTGAAAACACTGTGTCAGCAGCAGCTGACGAAAAGGAAACACAGGGCTTCCTCGGGCTCTTCTCAGCCTAAGTCCTTGTGACAAGAGCACATTTCCCTGCTGCTCCCCGGGGCTCTCTTTGACGTCAGGTTGCTGTCACTCAGGGAGGGGATCACTGGTTTCATACCCCGAGACTGCTGGTGAGACACGGGCACCGAGAATATCTCTTTAACTTTGTTATTCTTTTGTTCAATCGCTGTCACTTCTAATATATCTGGGGAGTGCTTTGGTGACACAGTTATAACCACTCTCGTGAGGCAAAACATTCTGGTTTCAGAACGCATAGTCCACAGTGATAATGCCAGACTCTGAGCTAAGAGTCATTATACAATTTTCGATTGGTTCCAAGTTGCATTTCTGGGGTCAGTATTTTGTGTCTAGTGTGCTTTGGTGGGCTGTAGACAGCAGTGTAACGATAGAGTTGTTTGGACATGCTTTGGAGATCATTTCTATTTTGTTGCCACTTGCATTTGCCTTTCATGGTATCTTCATAGGCTTTCAGAAGAGGGCGGCAGGCAGATGACTATTAAGAGGGTTCTAACTGCTGTCCACCCGACCCAGCGGCAGAACCTCAGCTACTTCCGTCAGAAGAGAGGCGCCTCACAGGCATTTGGGAGTCAGGGTTTTGTCTAGTGTTAGCCCCACAGAAGTTTGTGCACAGTAGCTGTTGCGATACTGTGGATCAACCCCGGCCCTTCACATGGAGTTACATCCCAACCCTTTTTATTTTTTGAGACGGGGTCTCACTAAGTTGTTCAGGCTGGGCTTAAACTTGCCACCCTCCTGCCTCCGTCTCCCTAAGTGACAGCTATTTTTGAGTGGTTGCTATGTGTCAAACAGGATCCCAGCTACTCCAGATACGGACATGTGTCGGGCACTGCGGTGAGTGGGGCGATTGCTCCCCACTTCTGTGTGCGTTCGTGCTCCTCTGCTTCGCTCAGGATGAGCCTCCCGATCCTGCGGAAGTCATGGCTGCAGCTCTGGAGTGGAACACGTGAGCGCCCAGGCCTCAGGAATCTCCCGCGCTGGCGTCCAAAGCTCTGAGTCGGGACCCTTGGCTTGGCAGAGCCAGCGCCTCAGGGTGCAGCCAGGGGTGGCCGGCTGGGACGCTCTGCCTCTGCTGTTCCCTTTATTTCTCACCACAGTGCTGTGGCATTCTTGCTGAGCACAACACAAGACGGAAGAGTCTCAGTCGCTCCCTCCTTGCTGGGACACAGTGCGGGCTCCCACAGCTCTCAGGAGAACAGGTTTACCTTGGCTCCCAGTGTGCAGAGCTTTCAGCCCGCAGTTGGCTGGCTCCGAGGCAGGGCACCGTGGCACCCATGGCAGAGGGGCATCGCAGAGGAGAAACAGTTCGAGGCAAGCAGAAGGCAGCAAAGTAGTGAAGCAGCAAGCAGCAAGCGGTAGCAGCCACCCTCTCTCTGCCCCTTAATTGTTTTGATAACATGTGCTAGGCATCTGAGAGTTATAGATCTTTATAATTATGCAGGAACAATTCCCTGCATCCTCTGAAAGCAAAGCCTCAGCGAGGGGACGCGCTTCGCTCAGATGCAGAACCGAGGCCCAGAGCAGCCGGGGACAGGCGAGACTGGAGCAGCGTTCCCATCACTGAGCAGCATTCCTGCGCCTGCGGCTGACTCGGGGCTGGGCCAGGACTCCAGGGACGGTGAGCGGAGGAGAGGTGGCTTTAAGTTAGCACAACAACAAAATTGCAGTCGGCTTTGTTGAGGCCTTAACACAAGACATTAATTTGTGAAGAAACATTAGCAATAACAAATCTTTCTTGAATTATCCCTGATTGAAATGTTACGGTGCCTGGGTGCCTGTTGATTTAAACAACGTGTATAGCGAAAGGGAAACTTGCCGCTTTGTTTCTTCCTAATGAGGTAGAATTTGCTATTCATCTGCATTTAAAGTATGTTGAATTTTCATCGTGGCCATTCCTATCATTTAATGCTGTTGAACAGCTGAAGAAGACAAACACGCGGGCGACAGCAAGGATTTGTTCCCGAGTAATAATCCCAGCAGCGCTTGGCTGCGTCATACTGGGCCAGCGCAGCCCCTGCTGCATGAACCTCAGCCCACCCACCTCCCTCTGGCGCAGGGGGTGTTACCGTAGCCTCATCCTCCACAGGAAGAAAGATCCAGCAGATAGCCAGCCTATTCAGAGCAGGCAGTTGAGGTGAATAGAGTCTTGGCATTAGTTTCCGCAGTGAAGTGTTTTGCAAATGCTGAGCAGTTTAGAAATGAAAAGCAGCAGGAAGGCCTTGGAAGTCTCATGCAGATTTTTCCTGTGGGTTCATTATAGGGATTGTGGGTTCACAAACCACAGTCACAAGTTTGAATCTGAGGTCTCAGAGAAGCACTCAAATCTGGACATCATTTGGCTGTTTTTCTTTCTTTTTCTAGACTGCAATTATTGATATTTGTCAATAACGCACAGTTTTGCTACAAAAAACGTTGACGGTTACACAGCAAAAGGAGCCCAGAAACCCCGTGGGCGGAGAGCAGGGTGCTGCCCTGGGGGCCAGGGGCAACATCATCACAAGTCTCGGTGGGAGCCGCAGCAGGGCCCCTCCAGACTGCTGAGCTGGTCCTGTGTGGAGCTGTGATGCGGAGAAGCACAGAGCCTACACGGCAGAGAGCTGCGGAATTGGAAAGTGCCGTGGAAAAGCATGCTGGCGGAGAGAGAGGTAGCGATCGTCAGACTGAATAAAGATGTGATGTTGTGTACTCAGTGATTTTTGCAGATAAGCCAGAATGGTCTCTGAAATATCTAGGCCTGAAGACATTGTAGCCCACTGACCAAGGAGTGTCTGTAGCAAGGAACAGTGTCCGGATCCTTACTTTTGTACTTGGGTCAGAAATGTCACATGGGGACTGAAATTCCCCAAAAGGCCGTATTGCTTCATGTAAAGAGAAAACATGGGGGAATCATCCTCTTGACTGGGTGTTTCCTCTAGTCACAGGGGATGGGACTCTAGACTACAGAGTGGAAACTCCTTTGTCCCTTTCTGCTGTTGTGCTTGCAGGAGTGTTTGCTTGTGTGTGTGTTTGTGAGAATATTCACAAGGACGTTGCTAAAGTCAGTGTCTCACATTTTTCCCTTTAAGTTGATCCACAGAGGAAATGCCTGACAGTTGTCTACAACATGAAAGGTTGTGCTTCCCGTGAGTGATTACCTTTTAAAATCTTTTGGACAGTGCGTATCTGATAAGTGATTATGTTTTCCCCTTTTCTTTGGACACTAGGAATTTCAAAGTTGAATTCAAAAAACATTTTCATAATTGTATTCTCTTGTTGGAGTCAGTGTTATGCACTGAATTCAATTCGTTGAGAGGCCCCTGCCTTTCTTTATTCTTTGCATGAGGTCCTGATTTGGCTTTGGCCCTGTTGTATTATCTACATCTCTGTATGCGGCTCCGAATCATCTTGACAGCATGTAAGGTAGAATAACCTGAACCAATTGTGTACTTTTCCTTATCAAAACCTGTAAGTATGATAAACAGTGATAAGGAATGAATTATCAGCTATGCCAAAATGACATAGCAGAAAATCACATGCCATGGTTCTCTGAGTATGGACTCTGAAGTGTGAGGGAGATCAGAACTAGGAAAATCTCAATGTGATCTGGCTATGGGAAGGGACAGAGAAGATGATAAACAAATATTAACAAATACTGCATATGTGGGTATTATTTGAGGGAGTTATGGCATCAAAATCACTTAGAATTTGAAATTTTAAAAATGCTTATAGTTAGAAAACTTTTCCCTGTGCCTTTGAGATGTACAAGCTTTGTCATCGACTTGACTTAGTGTGAACCAGTTCCAACTCACCCTGTGTGTTTTTCAGTATTGGCCAATGAGAATATTTAAGGAAGTGAATAAAATTTGTTATTCATTCACTTTGACTAGTTCAAGGCCGGCCTTTTGGAACTAGATGTTAATAGTATGCAGAACAGTGGTGGAATTCGGATTAGAACAGGCAGTTTGGTGCTGTCCTTTAATCCCTGTCTTGTGTCGTTTGTATCTGTTGCAGTGGGCAACGTGTTAACACGCAGTGGCTCATGACCCCTGGGCGGAAGAGCTCGGAGCCCGGGAGTTCTGCCTCTCATCCCTTGCTTGATAGGGGCTGCTGGGCTCTCCAGCGTGGCCCTGGGCTGACTCAGGAGCTCGAAGCCGGACAAT